GTTACGGGTAGTAAAAAAAAGATATTTATGGTCATAAAATTAACCTACCTTTGCATCTTTTCAACTAAATAAAGCGATAGAAATGCATACATATATTTCGTTTCACCTAAAAGTGAAATCTTTTATATAGAATTCTCGTGTTTTCACAATGTTAGTTACCATACTCCTCCTAAACGGCTGGATCGATTTTTATGAAATTTTGTGTGCACATCGGGTAGGTCTGAGAATCGGCTAACATCTATTTTTCATACCCCTAAATGACAAGAGTGACACCTAAATTTTTTTTTCAATATTTCCTAGAAATAATATATATGGCAAAAAAATATTTGGCGGGTCAGCTAGTGACTATATAAACCTAAGAATGGGAAAGTGACATATTCTGGGAAATTGATGTTTCGGAAACCAGGACCATTTAGGGACAGGGACATTCTGCGCCTAAGCCAATCCTAAACTACGTAACGGATTTTGATACGATTTTCACCATCAGTTATATAAATTTTCAAGGAAAGTTTATATGTAAAATATAACGTATTTGAAGTTTTAAGTAGGAAAAAAAATACTTATTTTGAAATCGCCGAAAAAAATATTTACGTTGCTTCACATGAACAGCCTTAAATAGTCCACTGCTGGACCTAGACTTCACCTTAGACAGGAGGTTTTTTCCACGCTGTCATTTGTACAGTTTTTAAACATGGTGGACTTTTATTATATTATAACTTTTAATGTTTTAATAACACTTGCGTGTCGGGCACGTGTAACAATATAAATAGAGCCTCTCGAATGTCCGACAGTCTTGTTTTTATAATTGAAAAGATAAATATTATTAAATCTACCTATTGAAATGACATTCTTTAGTTGTTTAATTTCAAAGTATTTTATTTTAGTATGTACTTGATCTACAATAATATTATAAATAGAAAAGTAACTGTCTCTGTATGTTATGCTTTTACAGCTAAACCGCTAAATCAATTGGAATGAGTTTTGTTTTAGAGATAAACAAAACTTTAAAGACAGTTATTTTTTGAACTACAAAAAAGACCTTGAAGTTGCCCAAATAGGGGATTACAGTCAACTTTTTTTAAAAGGTGCATTTTGACAGTTGTAGTTCAGGGTTGTGATATTTACAAATCGATAGAGAACATAATCGAATCGAAACATCGTTAATCGTTTGATTATAATTATACACTACAGGTTATAATATTTAGTCTTTTTATTTTTCTGTTTATTTTTTTTAGGAATTATGTACTATATACAAACTCAAAATCTTTTAATGGAAACTACGAAAACCAATGTATAAGCGTTATTAACACGCTATTATTAGCTTGGTATGTATGTACCTAAGGGAATCTTCAAACGTGATTTTGACCCACTTCAAATCTTCGAATTAAATTGAAACTTAGCCTCCTTTCAAGGACCGATGAGAATTATTTATTTTATTTTAAGCCTGTATAGTCCCTCTACAGGGCAAAGGCCTCGCTCCCACATTTCTCTGACGTGTGCTCGTTCGGACCAGTCTTTTCAAAAGTTGTCGAGATCGTCTCATCTGGGCCCACCACGTTATCGTTTAGCGCCTTATGGGACCCAAGTTGTGCTAATTTTTGCCTATTGTAGTCCCACGTGAGTGCGGCGGCTTTATGACAATGCAATCATTTAAATAGTTTGTCCCATTATCCCGATCCCTCCTTTCTAAGGAGAGGCCTATGTCCAGCAGTGGACTAGTATAGGCTGTTGATGATTATCCTGATCAGGATCTTCAGGTATAACGACTTTTTCCTTACCTAAAAATACGGTATTGTCTTTTGCCTGATTTCTAACTTCTTATTCTTAATAAGATGAGTTTGAAGTTATTGAAAATTATTTCCTACTTTTTAGTTCGGCTAGCTACAAAAGCGTGTTTTTTTTTTTAACTATATTTTATTAATAAATTACAGAAACTAAAGAAAGCGTCACAGGGCCATGTCTGATTCTGATCTATATTTTATTTTATGGTAAAAGGGGCCAAACGCGCAGACGGGCCACCTGGTGGTAAGCAACTACCGCCGCCCATGGACACCTGCAACTCAAAAGTCACAAGTGCGTTGCTGCCCTTGGAGTCCCTCGCTCGAGTCAGCGTGAGGATTTGGGCTCCGGTAACCTCACTCACTCAGTGAAAGGCAATGAAAGAATTGCTTAACACCGGTTTTCTGTGAGGCCGTGGTAACACTCCGGTCGAGCCGGCTCATTCGCCCCACGGTAATCTCCCAAATCTATCTCTACCAAAAAATGCGAACCGAATACATGTGTTTTTTTTTCATTTCATTACACGTTTAAATAAAAAGTTTCCATTTTCTTTTATTTGCCATAAACAGTCGTTATGTTTTATTTTATGATTATTCTTAAAAATAAATATGAATTCATGTGTTTAGTACCTTTTAACTACACGAAAAGCATGAAATTAAATTTTACCTCCGTAACAATTTACAACTGCAGAGTAGTTTAAGCACCTCGCCGCTTCCTACTCCGCTGAGTGTTGTGGGTTTGATCCCCACATAGGACAACTGGACAACACTTTGTGTGATTCACAAATTGTTGTTCTGAGTCTGGGTGTTCTTTGTGTCCGTTTTATGTATGTTTGTAAAGTCCCCCGCGACACAGGATATTTCTAGTGTGGGCGTTGTCTTTATAAAAAAGAAGAATGGGCCGGCTTAACCGGTCTGATACCAGGGTCGCATAGAACCGGTGTTAAGTAATCTTTTCACCGAGTGAGTAAGGTTGCCGTAGCCCAAACCCGTTTCTTCTGAATTCAGGGTGGCAGGACTCAGACCCACTTGTAGCTCTTGAGCTGCAAGCGTTCATGGGCGACGGTAGACACCTACCATCAGGTGACCTCCCTGCTCGTTTGCTAACCATGCCATCAATATGCCTCTGCCAGCTCTTCGAAGATAAATAGAAGCATTAAAAAACCCCCGACACAAAAAACACCTTAAAAAAACCACAACTGTTCATTGAGACTGTTCTAATAAGCCCAAACATGGTATATATGCTGTAATTTTTTGAGGAGTTGGCTATCCAGTAGACTACTTGATGCATCAGCAAGTTGCAGGTTACCATGTCGTGCAAATATCATCAAAGTAACAGTATACCGAATTTCAGATCAATCGGAGCTGTGGATTTTAGTGAGATCCCTTCATCACCTAGGAAGTGAGCTGATGATCTTCAAAATTTATAGCTAAGAACCATCTCGATCACATCGGCTTTCGAAGAAAAAATAATCAAAATTGGTCCATTCGTTCGGCAGCTATGATGCCACAGACAGATCTACAAATACACAGGTAAAACCTATGACACCAATCGTTTTCCGTCGGGGGCTAATAAAAGCGTGAGCATACATATCACATCAACAGCCTTTAATAGTCCACTGCTGGACATAGGCTTCTTCTTAGAAAGAAGGTTTTGGCCTACTATACACGCTGGCCTGACGGGTTTGTATAGGGTTTGTGTCAAGTTTTCCTTCTCTTTGCAGTGCTGTTGTCCTACGTCGTTTGTCCCTTAGTCGGCTCGTACGACACCCACGGGATGAATAGGGGTGGTGACACTCCGTATTCTTCCACCGTCACCACACTGACTAAATAATTTAGAATAATTAATTAAACTTAAAATAATTTAGTCATAGGTTTTCGCTTTATGACATCTCGTATTCCCCTTTTTTTTGGAGGGTAGAATATTCTTGCGCATCTACGGCTCCTCAGCCACGCAGAAGCCAGATGTATGTGATGCTTCCACTAAAAACCACCCCGACGGCCGGTCTCAAGGGCCCTACTCTGAGGAGGACCTAGACCTAGGAGAATGTTATTTCAGGTCGACGCTGCGCCTAGTCGAGTCCTATCACGAGAGAGGCTGCAAGACCGCCTTCCTATCCCCTACCGCAGCAATAATTCTGCCACCAGAGGTAGCCCACTCTGTGGCAGCCATTTATATTTATTCCTAACCTTCCGTTTTTTTTTATGTCAGAGGGGGCAGACGAGCAGACGGGAAACCTGATGGAAGGTGACCATCGCCGCCCATGAACGTCTGTAACTCAAGAGTCATAAACGCGTTACTGGCCTTTGAGGAAGGAGTACGCTCTTTTCTTGAAGGTTTGAAGGTCGTATCGGTCCGAAAATACCGCAGACCATAACCCGTTCCACAGATTGGTTGTGCGGGGCAAAAAGTGTCTCGAAAAGCGCACAGTAGTGGAGCGCCAACTATCCAGGTGATGAGGATGAAAATTTTGCCGTGTGGAACGATGGCGGAAAGTTGCGTTTAACCTCAATCTTCTTACTTAAACAAGTTAGTAATTACTTTTTTTAATATTCCCGAGTAACAATAACTACAAAAGTATCTATTATAATACTAATAATCCAATTGACTGCATGGATGGCGTAGTGGTTTAAGCGGTCGCCACGCCGCTTCCTACCACGCCGAGTGTTGTGGGTTCAAACCCCACATGGGACGACACTTTGTGTGATCCACAAATTGTTGTTCTGAGTCTGGGTGTTATTTGTGTCCGTTTCATGTATGTTTGTAAAGTCCCCCGCGACACAGGATATATTCCTAATGCGGGAGTTGTCTTTAAAAAAAAAAAGAAATTGTTTTGATATTGACAATAGTCGTGATTCGGATGGCCGGGTTCGCGCCTAAGCGAACGGGAATATTCGCGTGACCTTCAAACCAGTTTTGGGGAATTCTAACTTTAACCCTACGAATAATAGATTATTCGTAGATCTATCCTGGAAAACGTGAATAATCAGATGAGTTATTGCATCATTTTTATCTATTAAAGTATAGCAGGAAACTAAACCAGGTAAATTTTACGTAAAAATAATTCTGATTATTAAATTAAAGATAAAATAGAAATCCTTAAAATATTTAGTTGAATAATTTAGAAGTAGTTTAATTTAGAAATGGAATATTTACTGTTGCTTTAGAAACTATAATTAAACTTAATATTAAATCAAGAAATTGTTCTTAAAATAACTTACATCACTCATGTACGGTGTCCAATCTTTGTTGGACCCTTCCCATTCAGGCGGAGGTTTGTTTTCTTTTAATTTATTTATTATTGTCGCGTCCGAATCATCGAGGACTACAGTACGGTCGAAATCGAATATCGCCAGGCAAGGCATTTTGTAAAAACGCGCGCACTACACCGCCGTTGAACACGCACTGACTGAATAGTTATGGGAGTCTGAAAATCTTAAACGTGAACATGGGTCATGACGTCAGCGTTAATCGGGGTAAATCACGGAGGATTTGCGTATTCAGAAACCATTTTTGTTTAGTTTTGTTACAAAATAATGGTACAGATTCGTCATGACCACTGACAGATAACAGCTGAGAAGTGAGCTAGTTTGACAGACAATATCGATCTTGACACTCGGGACAAAAATATCTATGAGTAGAGGTACCGTCTAACAGTTCTGCTGAGTGTTCTGACAGATTGAAGAATAGGGAGGGGTCAAAGAAATCCAATACTACAATAACCGATTCTTAAGAGATTTCGATTTCTTTTCTTTGTACTTACTTATCGATAACAGTTTTACAAAAATTTGTCTGTTACTGTAAAAGTCCGTATATTAATATATCTAAGGTTTTACTTGTAAATTCTAGTATATTAATGTGTGAATATAATAAAGAGAGAAATAATTCTTCGGGTTTGTCCCACCCTAACCTAGCCAGATTTCTAACTATTTTAAAATATGTGTGTTTTTTGTTCAGACTTGAACACAAGAAATAAATTAGATGATTCCTACCGTTTTCCGATTTTTCATAAACAAGTGCTAACTAACTACGTGACTTTTTGTATATATTATATACTAGAAATTATATTGATACACACAGGATACTCAAAATCTCCATTTCAAAACACAGCAAATGTTTATCTAGGTTTTAAAAACGGATCAGGACAGAGACAAAAGTTAAGTTTATTTATTTTTAAAGTTAGAAAGCTGGTTAAAACCTGTAATATACATTGTTATCGAATAAATATCACTTTTTACTGAAAGGCTATTTCGTTTCATGTTCATACGCTCTTCTTTAAAATTTGATAAAAAACACTTACTGGATTTAGGGCAGCCCAATCCCGCACACTCCGGCATTATAGCATTTTTCGTACATTTACAATTTTTTGTACGATTTGAAGTGTTTTTGTAAAACTCGAAAAACCGTTGTTTGTCAGTTTTACAAGAGATTTTCAATTTTATTCGTGGATTCGCTAATTCTATCTGACTAACAATATTTAAGAGAACTTTGCTTGGGACAATGCAAATAATGTCACTGTGCTGATAAAATACGCAGTCTTAATTTCTAAACGTTTTAAATTGTCAGATAAACGGCTCTATTCTTAAAAAAAAACTACATTTGACAGACTGACAGCACTCGATGACAGATAAAGGTTGAAGGATAACCTAATTTTCGCGTAATTTATTTTCGAAATTGAAATAATAAATTATAAAACAGTAGTTGCTATGGCTTCACTAAAAGTGTGTTCAGTAAGCAGACTTGCAAAGTATATAACTGATTCCTCTCTCACGGGTCTACGAGCTAATATGTTCAGGTAAATTGCGCAACCAACTTTGAGGTTATAATCTGAAGTATTTTTCATATTTTTCGTATAATTAGGATAGAAAATGAATTACAGGGCAAACTGAACTTATGGTGAAGATATCCAGCATCATTAGAGTGTATGTGTTGATACTTTCTTTTAGTAGTCCATGGCTGATGTAATACCAATGTTATCTTATAAGACTTTAAAATCAATTTCTGTGGAGTTAAATTAAAGATTCATATAGCATATTTCTTTTAAATTATTGATGACAAGAAGTTGTAGTAGAATTGTCGCGATAAATCAGCTATGTCAGTGGTTGCAAGAGAAAAATACTTAAATTAGAAACTTTTTATAGGAATGTTATAAACATTTATATAAGATTAATTATTTATTTAGTATGTGGCCTAGACATGGGACAAAATAATAAAAAAAAGAAAAATTTGGACATCTGAAACACAACGCCATCTAGTTTCAAACTAAGCAGAGCTTGTACTATGAAAGCTAGATTGACTGATAGGATACTTATATACTTTTTTTTTCGTAAATACATACATATTATACATAAAAAACACCCAAACTCCGAAACAAATACTTGCAGACCATGCAAACATTTGGTCCAACCTGGGAATTGAACTCGAGACACACAGTGACAGAGACAGTCAGTAAAATTATATTGAACTGTGAATTAACATTTGATTTTTGTGTAAGTGTGTTAGGGTTTCTATTTAGGCAGGTTAGACACTATTTAATAGTAAATCTAGTATTTTTTAAATTATTATGTAGGGAATGGTAGCTATATTTATTAAAATAATTACTAGAATTACTGTTAAATAGGGGAAATAGGGTGTTTATGCAACGTCTGAAAACAGCTTATTCGCAACAACGCATCAGTAAGTAATAATCCTAAGCTACGCACGAAAAAATCAAATGATTTATTTATTTATTTATTTCATTTTAAGAAGGCTTACAGACTAATAACAAAATTTGCTTAAGTAAAAATATCAATAAAAAGGTTGCTAATAAATCACTGGTCTTTCACAGTTCACTGTAATTTTGTCTCATGCCTACTGTGGTGGTTTATTCATTAGTTATTTAGTCTGCTTGTTTGCCCTCTCTTTCATAAAAAAAAAACAAAAAAAAATGATTTACTTAATAAAGTGTAAAATTTATTTTGTAAGCAAGTTTATTAGTGCATCCTATATGTGTTCTGGTCTTAAGCTTAAAGGCAGCTTAATGATGTTCTCTTCATTCATCAGGCCAAAGTCACTCACTGGCTCGTATAATGAATGCTATCTAACACACACTTGCAAAATCCGTGTGGTGACGGATTAAGAATACAAATTGTCACCACCCCAATTCATCCCGTGGGTGTCGTAAGAGCAGACTAAGGGAGCAAACTAAGCAGGACAACAGCACTGCAGAGAGAAGGAAAACTTGAAACAAACCCTATACCAACCCGTCTGGCCAGCGTGGTATAGTAGGCCATAACCTCCTTTCTAAGGAGAGGCCTATGTCCAGCAGTGGACTAGTATAGGCTGTTGATGATTGATGACACACTTGCAGCCTATATAAGGCAGGCTATGAAACATACAAAACCTGACACACTACTTTTTAATTACGTCATTAATAATAAATGTGGGACATCTCCAACAAGGCTGTGTAGTCCTGAACTCGCCTATACTCACCAGATAGCTAAAAATAAAAAAAAAATTTGGTCTAATGGTTAGTGACCCTGACTGCTAAGCTGAAAGTTGGGGGTTGGATTCCCACCCAAGACAAATATTGTGTAATGAGCACAAAATAAAATGAGCTGCTCAACTAGCTGATACTCAAATACGTAACCAAGTAAATATGGTAAGGAGTTATTATATTATTTATTGTTTCGATTTAAGGAGCACATTTCGTGGTTATGCAACAGAAGAGAAACCGGCAGTAGCTCCCAAAGAGGAGGGCAGTAAGCCACAGCCCCTACCGGCCACTGTTGAGGAATGTCACAAACAGATTGAGGCTCTCACCACCGAGTTGAACACAGCCAAACAGCAAGCCAAAGAACTTGAGGTGAGTGGTTTTTTACAAAAGTACTTGTGTATTTTACACACACACACACACACGCACACTCACTATACGAAAACAACCTAATGTACCTAACCATCACATCACATCAACAGCCTTCAATAGTCCACTGCTGGACATAAGCCTCACTCCTAGAAAGGAGGTTGGTTTTAACCTTAGTTTTAAATGTTGTTGTTATTGTATTATTATTCCTTAGTAATTCGCGTTATTCATGAACCCATTTGAAATTTGCTTTTTTTTTTTGAAAAGTTATAAATAGGAAGTGAATTCGGTCTAAGTCTGCATATTGAGGAATTAAGAATACAGTTTATTAAAATTCATTAAGTTATTACATTAGTTCATTAATTTAATTAAACAAGAAAAGAGCGTACTTCCTAAAAGGCCGGCAACGCGTTTGTGACTCCTGAGTTGCAGACGTTCATGGGCGGCGATAGTCACTTTCCATCAGGTGACCCGTCCGCTCGTCTGCCTCCTCTAACATAAAAAATAAAAATATCTTTTGCAGGATAAGTACAAGCGCGCGCTGGCAGACGGCGAGAACGTGCGGCGACGAATGATGAAGCAGGTTGAAGACGCAAAATCATTCGCTATACAGAGCTTCTGCAAAGATTTGCTTGATGTAAGTTTTTATTTATATCACGATTTCTCTACAGTATGTGCTTAATAACATTTGATACTTGGCATTTCATCACTGTGCACTTTTCAAGTTTTTTTTTGTCGTACAACCAATCTATGGAACAAATTGTCGACCACGGTATTTCCGGATCGATACGACCTTCGAACCATAACAAAAAGCATATCGCGTTAGAGGCTGCCGAGTGCAGGTGACCCGGGGGGGATACTCTTGTGTTTTATTATTATTCTATAATGCACTAAAGTCGTGGATGTGGGTATACGATTTGCGAGGCTTAAGTGGGGATGGCGGGGCACTCGACCAGACGGGACGATGATCGATGAATTAAGACAGTTACCGAATGGTGGCCAAGACATATGCGGCGACCTCGAGGCAGACCACCTGCCCGATGGTCAGACGACATTGTGAGGGTAGGAGAGCAATGAATCCGGCTGGCACTAAACCGCCAGGAGTGGTGTGACAGAGAGAGAGAGAGTGGGCTGCGTAGATAGATAGATATTACTGCATTGTGTTCGTTTTGTTGTTTTTAAAAGTTTGTCTTGTCTGTTTTTAATACTCGTAAATCCTTTTTAAAAAGAAATTGAACCGACTTCAAACAATACTAACAAAGAGGACTAAAAAGCAATCGCGGTTGATTTGCTGTCATTTTTTGAAGAGTTCCGTTGTCTGTCTCCAAAACTCATCATCAGATCTATATGAAATTAAACTGATATCATTTCGTAATAAACCCCTTTCAACCAAAAAAACATTTTTGTAAAACCTATATATATGAAAAAAAACGAATCGATAACCTCCTCCTTTTTGAAGTCGGTTAATCGAGTGATCATGCAGTATGTATGGGTATGTGCTGCAGGTGGCGGACACGCTGGCGGCGGCGGCGGAGAGCGTGCCGGAGGGGGGGGAGGTGGCGGAGGGCGGCGCGGCGGCGGGTGGGGGGGAGGGCGGCGCGGGCGCGGCGCTGCGCTCGCTGCACGACGGCGTGCGCCTCACGCGCGCGCAGCTCGCGCAGGTACCGCCCCCGGGGCCGCGGCACCTCACCTCACCTTGACGATCGACTATATATGAAATAAACTCGTGCTTGGTCGTCTGTTCATCACTTCTTCCAGGACTAAAAAAGCTTACTATAATCTACTCTGTGCTAATTTCATCCAGATCCATTCAGATATCCTGGCCGACGACCGCCTCAGTGTTACAGTGCACGGATGGCGGAGTGGTTTAAGCGGTCGCCACGCCGCTTCCTACTACGCCGAGTGTTGTGGGTTCAAACCCCACATGGGACGACACTTTGTGTGATCCACAAATTGTTGTTCTAAGTCTGGGTGTTCTTTGTGTCCGTTTCATGTATGTTTGTAAGGTCCCCCGCGACACAGGATTTATTCCTAATGCGGGAGTTGTCTTTTAAAATAGAAAATAAAAAGTGGTAGCGTATGCGACTGCTCTGCGAAGGTCTCGGGTTCGATTCCCGAGTCGGACCAAATGTTTGTATCATCAATCATCATCATCATCAACAGCCTTTACTAGTCCACTGCTGGACATAGGCCTCACCTTAGAAAGGAGGTTTTGGCCTACTACACCACGCTGGCCAGACGGGTTGGTATAGGGTTTGTTTCAAGTTTTCCTTCTCTCTGCAGTGCTGTTGTCTTGTGTAGTTTGCTACAATGTTTGTATGATCTACAAATATTTGTTTCGGAGTTTTTGTGTTTTCTATGTATAGTATGTACGGTAAGGTATTATATCAATCGATCTAACTTTCATAGTACCGAGGTATGTTTAGTTTAAAACTAGATGGCGTTGTGTGTTAGATATCCGAAAATATAATAAAAAAATCTAAACTTTGAGATTTATCATAGTTGTAAGAACAACCATAATAAATCCGTGTAATTGTGGATTAAGAATACGGAATGTCAGTACACCAATTCATTTCGTGGGTGTCGTAAGAGCCGACCAAGAGCGCAAAACTACACAGGACAACAGCACTGCAAAGAGAAGGGTGATATCGAGTGGCCATTGACATCGGTATAAATATCGATAGTCTACACTACAACTACTAACTCAATAAACGTAATATAGTTTTTTGAAATTATAAGGAAGTGATTTATTTATTTTTCCAAATATTGCAATCTTTTTGATATCGCCACTGATGAGCCACTGCCATTCCATCGCCACTGTAAAGACACTCAGTTAGTGTAGACGACCGATATTTATACCGATGCCAATGGCCACTCGATGGCATCTCAATAGCGTGTCAGTGATATGACAGTGGCTTGGCGTGAACATAAAATAGCAGAATTGAGGCCCTGATCGAAACGCCTTAATCACCCATACATATACTTACTAAAATATCATAGAACACGTAAACTTAACACTGACTGCGCGGATGGCGTAGTGGTTTAAGCGGTCGCCAAACCGCTCACTACTACGCTGAGTGTTGTGGGTCCGATCCCCACATGGGACGACACTTTGTGTGATCCACAAATTGTTGTTCTGAGTCTGGGTGTTTTTTGTGTCCGTTTCATGTATGTTTGTGAAGTCCCCCGCGACACATGATTTGTTGCTAGTGCGGGAGTTGTCTTTCAAAAAAAACTGCTTTTTAAAACACTTTAATTTTTTTCTTACAGGTGTTCAGTCGACACGGGCTGATCGCAGTTTCCCCACTTCGAGAGAAATTCGACCCTAATTTACACGAAGCTTTATTCCAACAGGTAAATTACAATAAATACAGGTGTGCGCTTGAGTTTAGTGGCTTGTCTTGTCGACATTTCCACTATTACATCATAACCCCCCACCCCCCTCCCACCTCCTGAAACTTCCATCAACCGACACACGGGGTGCCTTACTTCGTCCGTCCACGTCTAGACTCCTCCGCCAAGATGCGGTCATCATTTCGGGGACAACCTCTGAATTAGGCTCGGTCATTCAGGGAACATATAATTAGCATATTTTAATTAATTTATACAAAACCTTACCACTCTGTCTGTTAATAAAAAACGTATGAGAATTTTTCATTACTTTTAGAGTCGAACAGACAGACGCGGTTAGGGACTATGTAGTGGGGTGTGAATGTGTCTGTATAACTTGCAGGAAGTGGAAGGAGCCCAGACGGGCACGGTGGTGGCGGTGAGCAAGGTGGGCTACAAGCTGCACGAGCGCTGCGTGCGGCCCGCGCTCGTCGGCGTGGCCAAGTGAGCCCGGAGTGTTTGTTACTGAGCGTAGAATCTATTCCACTGTTGGGATGCCAAGGTATGCTTTGAGATACCACGGTATACGTTGGGATACACCTGCATGCTTTGGTATCCCAAAGTATGACTTGAGATACTTTATCAATTTAATGCGTTAGAAATATTTTTGTTTCCGGATCTTGTAGCATTGTTAAAGGGATGTTATATTTTATGCTGTGGTAGTTAAATTAAGATACTTTGAAATGCCTGAGGATGCAAGGATATCTAAAAATACTGCAGGAGTTGTCGAATATTGTCACGTCTACAAAAAATAATATAGCATCCCTAACAATGTCTTGGTATCCCCAAGAATGTAATCACATACCTTCGTACGCCTAAAATTTAAACAACATCTCAAGGAACAATACTTAGATTCTCATGTTCAGCATCAGATTTATATCGGATAAGAGATAGATTTAGGCTCAGTCTTATCTAACTTAAAGTCAGCCCACCAGTCGTTTAATACGCGCGCTCACTTTACGCTAGATGCGACTCAGCCCTTTTAATCCTGCTTACATCTTTAGATAATAATAGTCTGTACATTAAATATTTTCTTAGAATGAGATATTATCACAGAAGTCCGATAAGTTATTTGTCAACATCACTCGCATCTGGCATTTAATCAGCTGCTAACTGTTGACTTTAGGCAACAGTATGCCGCTCACTGTTCGCCAGATGCGAAAAGTTAAAAGTTATTTAATAAAATGAATAATTAATGTTTTTGTTAATATTGTGTATTTATTAAGATTTTTCCATGAAAATGTTTGACAGTGATTAGGCTTTGACTGGCTATTTTTGTAAAGAAAACTTAAAAATAAGGGTGGGAGCACACTTAACGTCAGTACGTCATTTTATGCTTACGCTCATACCACGCTGGTCAGACTAGTTGGTATAGGGTTTGTTTCAAGTTTTCCTTCTCTTTGCAGTGCTGTTGTCCTGTTTAGTTTGCTCCCTTAGTCGGCTCTTACGACACCCACGGGATGAATAGGGGTGGTGACACTCTATTCCTAATCCGTCACCACACGGATATAATAAAAAACTTGTATTCGGTTTTACTTTCATTATTAGAACGCTTAAACAAGCGAGAAGTAGACGCAACCGTAAGATACTCACTTAAAAATCTACTGCAGCTTCTTGGAAAAGCGTTTTTTTTGTCACAAAATATTAACTGTATACATCACACCACACGACGGTCTAAACAAAAATTAGACAGAGCTTGTCCTATGAGTATAATTTTCTTGTAGAAACAAATATCAACTGTCGGCCGCTGATTTTCGGTTACCGCTAGAAAGTAGTCTGTCTAGTCCTCAAGAATCAAAGTATATCCATGCCAAATTTCAGCAAAATCGGTTTAGACGTAAAAGCGTAACATACAGTGTTATAGTCCATCAACATCGTGCGCGACCGTCCTGCGGGGTGACAGACGGTGGCGGGGACGAGGTACTCAAGATGTCAGCGGGTAGCGGGTGGTGTAGCGGGGAAGGGAAACGCGTTCTCTTCGTGTGTAGCCTTGTGCTAGAATGTCGCGCTACCTCGCCCCCGCCACTGTCTGTCACCCCGCGGGACGGTCGCGCACGAGATTGCCGGGGTAAAGTCCTCAAGAATCAAAGTATATCCATGCCAAATTTCAGCAAAATCGGTTTAGCCGTTAACATACAGTGTTAGTTTCGCATTTACAATATTAAAGGTGAAAAATAATTCTATAAAAACATTGAAGTATTCCGGATCGTGTTGATGAAATATTCCTAGTAGATGATATAACAATCCTGTTTAATTTAATGGCAGTGTGGCCTCGCCCTTACGAGTGTCAATATTCGATACATAATAGCAATAAATATTAAATATTAATGAAAGTCAAAAAGTTAGTTAAATCTATCCAGTCTTGCATGAGCGAATGTGTGGCCATTTATAAAAAAAAACGTGAGGGGTCTATGGACCCCCGGTCGGAATGAAGTTCCTTTCGCTTTTTGGTAGACGTTTGCTAGTGTCGGAATAAAGTCTTGTTACACATTTTTTGGTCTCGCTCCCATCCGCTCAGAGCGTGTAAGGTGCTATAAGGAACTTCGTTCCAATAGTATGTGTGGGAATTATTTCTTTCTTTGTTTGTACTACAAACAGAAGTTACATATCTTACTTTAACTCAATTCAAATTTGATATATATCGTGTTTGATATGAATGAAGTTGTTTTTAAATACGTTTTACTTAGGTGTGCATTTCGGGGATTTCCCACTAGTTTTGGACTCGACGGGGAGTCCCCGAGTGGGAAGTGACCTGCCGTGATTGTTTTCAGAGGGCCTAGGGCAAAGTTTAGTTTTACATCGATTCCTTCCCCGATGGCGAGCGCGTTTACATTTGTGAAGATTGGAGTGCGGGCCAATCTGTCGTCATTGGGGGAGGGAGCTTTGTTGTGTGACAGTGATATGCATTTAATTTCGAACATATCCACCATCATAATTATTAATTTGGAAATTAACGCGATCAATACGTATGTGTTTCGCTTTTGCTGATGTTTCGACCAGGTTACACTACTTTTAGTCACAGACTGACCAGCTGTGGTACAGCAAATTTCTTCATCTACCCGCAAATTGCTTAAAGTTATTAAATTTTCGTTTCGACATCACATTCCTGAATTATTAGTTATATAATCATGGAAGTTAATATTCCCTATTGTCAAGATAATTTGAGTTATAAATAAGGTGTTGGAATTTATATTTATATACAAGGTGTTCAATGTACATTATAAACTTACTAAACCACCTATGTAGGGGTTGTTTAAGTATTACGTCACCGTGGGAGGGCCATGCTTCGACACATTCGGGCCAGGTTCGACTGGTGTGATACCACGGCTGCACAGGAAACTGGTGCCAGGTTACATGCCAATCACCTCCTTACTCTGAGGTTGAGGAGTAGCACTTGTATAATCAGTTGCAGGTGTCCATGGGCGGCGGTAGGCACTTAACATCAGATGACCCATTTGCCCCGTAATGTAGTAGAAATAAATATTTAAAAAAACAGAATCCTCTGAAGTCGTCCCCTTATTTAAATAAGTATTCTATCAGTCAATCTAGTTTTCATAGTACAAGCTCTGCTTAGTTTGAAACTAGATGGCATTTTGTCAGATGTCCTAAATATTATTATTGGCGTGCCGTTGCAACAAAATGTTAAAAGTACATGAATAAATATTGTTGCCTTAATCGCCATAAAAGTACTCGTCCCTTATGTCATGGAAAATAAACGGCAAAGCCTTCCACCCAAGTTTGGTGCTTACGCAACACTTAAACATCCCCTTAGTTTCTCAATAGTGTGATCATTTAAAAACTAAATTATTGTAAAAATACCCTCTGTTTTGTACTTTTTGCTAATTTATGGTATTTCCGAATCGATACAACCTTCAAACCTTCAAGAACAGAGCGTATTCCTTCCTAAAAGGCCAGCAACGCGTTTGTGACTCCTGAGCAGACGTTCATGGGCGGCGATGGTCACTTTCCATCAGGTGACCCGCCTGCTCCCTCTGACATAAAAAAATAAATTACCTTTGTTTAGTTAGTCAGTCGCTCAGTCAGATAATTGTTTATTGTATAATTTAAAACATATTATTATGTAGTTGCATTTCAATCATGTTCCGGGATAAAAAGTAGCAAATATGCCATTCCAGATAATAATCCCTCAGTTTCTCTGTGTCAATATCATCCAGATCCCTTCAGCAGTTCAGGCGTGATTGATACACAAATATACATACATGAAAACTTCCGCATTTACAACAGTCCGAGGAAAGAGACACCTCCCGTTGATGATACAACGGTATGCTGAACCATTTTGACCAATTATTGTAGAAACATACACAGATTTATCTATTTCTAAACAAAATTCTTGTCTTGGAGAAGCTCTGTAAATCTTGAAAAAAAAAAACGACATATCTTAATATTAACTTAACTCTTACTATGACCTATGACCCGTTACTGTCGCGCCCTTGAACTAGTGACCCAGTCACAGCTGAGCGAAGTCATTATTACCTCAATATCTACGTTATTTTATAATTATATTCAATGAAATAAACATATTTGGAATCCCTGATATATATTCTTCTAAATGTTGTGACAGAGACGCTACCGCGTAAAAATTTGGTGTCACAACTGTTGTGACGGCGACGCGTCGGAGGTTAAGAACTGCTGTGCCGTGCCAATCCAATACACTGTAAATTTTGAAAAGGACTTGTGACCTTGAAAGCTTTTTTACAGTTTTTTACCATGTTAAAACCCTAATTTCAATACAATACATTTATTTTTAGATTATTGTCTCTTCTAAAATACACTTTAGAATAACAAAAGTGTTGATCAGGGGAACTAAACCGACGTAAAGAGACTGATTGAGCGTTGTTAAGGCAAAACACTAAGTCGAGTTACAGTCTTTTGGATTGGCACAGCAGGGGTGAACTGATCTTTTATGATGTTTGGTTCGACTAAATCCCGAATAGCAGAACAACTATTACACTATTTTAGAAATTAACGAAAAAAAAAACAATTATAATGTATAATGAAACCTAGCACAGGTGAACCTGCAGGAAACTACTAGTATTATGCTACTTTTTATCGCCAAAAATGCGTGATGGCCTCTCGGTCGGAACCAAGTTCCTTTCGCTTCTTGGTACGTACAGCAAAAAGTGTCGGAAAAATGTCTTGTTACACATTTATCAGATCGTGTAACGCGCAACAAGTGCCAATAAGGGTAGTAAGTTTGTATAGAAAAGGAGACGAACCAGGCACTAAATTGTGAAGGTGTTTTAATATGTTTATCTTAAATTAAATTTAAGTTGTGTCGGTAGTAATTCCATTGTCAAGTGTGATTAGTTGTGTTGATTCCAAGTGTGATGTGATGCGCGCGGTAGTCCCAAATATAGTTGGTTATTGTTATATTTTGTTTTATTTGAACCCTGTACTTTTGGTCAGTGTTCTAAGAATTAGATAAGT